ACAGTACCCCACCAGGCAGGCCGGCAGGGCCCCTGGTGCAGACAGAACTCGCTGTGCTGGAGCAACGGCTGGTTTCGCTGGAGACCTCATGTACCCCCAGCACCACCTCAGCTGCTCTGAACAACCTTGTGGCAGAGGTGAAGGCCTGGCAGAGCCAGATGGAGGTCCTTCTCCGCCAGGTGGCCAGCCACACAGCCTTACTCCAGCAGCTCAATGGCACTGTGGCCGAGGTCCAGGGGCAGCTGGCAGAAGCAACGGGCAGCTCACTCCAGGGCGAGATCACCCTGCTCAAGGTCAATCTGAACTCCGTGAGCAAGTCACTCACAGGCCTCAGCGACTCCGTCAGCCAGTACTCCGATGCCTTCTTAGCCACCAACACCTCCCTGGATGAGCGGGAACGCAAGGTGGAGGCCGAGGTCCACGCCATCCAGGAGCAGGTCAGCAGCCAAGGCTCACGGCTTCGAGCTGGCCACAGGCAGGTCCTGAGCCTGCGGGGGGAGCTGGAGCAACTCAAGGCCGGTGTGGCCGATGTGGCTGGCGGGCTGAGCCGCTGCCAGGACACAGCCCAGGAACTCCAGCTGGCAGTGGGCCATTTCGATCAGAGGGTGGCACAAGTGGAGGGTGTGTGTGGGAAGCTGGGCCCAATGGCTGCAGACCTGAACAGCTTGCCCACTGATTCACTCAGGCACAGGGAGGGCCTCTGGGGCCATGTGGATCAGCTGAATCGCACGCTGGCCCAGCACGCACAGGACATCGCCCGCCTCCGGGATGACCTGCTAGATTGCCAAGCCCAGCTGGCTGAGCAGGGGCGGCCAGGGCGGGCCAACTAGGCAGGCTGGACAGGACCCAACACCCAGATCCTACCAACCCTGGGGACATCACCCCAGAGCACAGACCATGCTTCCCAGCCTCCCTTGGCCATTGCAGAGGCCATTTTAGGGGCTACTGAAGGAGCAGTCTTGGTCCAGCTCCACGTGACTGTCTCAGACATCAACACCACTGCTCACTGCCGCACCAACTGGACAGTTCAGGATAGTGGTCACGGCGAGTACAACATGCCTGCAGGCAAGGGTGCACCTAGGAGACCTCACAATCCAGTTTGCCACTTGCCCTTCTGCAGACATGAGTTGGCATATGGGCAAAGACTGCAGGTCCATTCTCAGACAGTGGCCTGTCCACATCTCCCTTTGCCCATGGGCAGTCGGCCCGAGCCCATGGAGGCTCCTGGTTCCTTTGTCCCCTTAGCTTCTCTCCCCTGTCATCTGCAGGAAGGTGCTGCCCATTGGCACTGTCCTCACCCCTGGCAGCTTCACAGATGCTATTTCTGAACCAAGGACCAGAGGCTTCCACCACCACAGGCCCGTCCGGGCAGAACAGAAGCACAGACTCAGGCACGAATTCTCTTTATTCCTTTTGACCCTCCCACAGGGGAGGGCTTAGGGAGCTGTCGCTTCCCAGAGGACAGGATTGGGCCCAGGTGGTCTGTTTGGAGATCCCGTGCAATTTATGCGCTTCCTTCTCTTCCCCAAAGATGTTTTCAGGCACTCTGGGCCCCACGTAGTCCTCTTCTTTTCGTGTGTGTGTGGGGAAATCTTTAGGGCCACTCTCATGTATGTCATGGCCTGAGTGAGGCCAAGCCCTGGGCAGAAGGCCATGGCTGGAGGGAGAGGGCTCCAGCCCTAGTTTCCAGAATCCTTGCAAACCCAGCCCCGCCTGGATGTTCATGAAGTCATGAGGAATTCAGGTAGAACATGACCGAGGAACAATCTGAAAATACAAGCGTTCATCTGGCCCGCACAGTTCCCAGAGACCCCGATGCCTGTCCGCTGAAGCGCCTGGCCTCAGTTTCCCCACGGCCGCAGGGGCCCTCCTGTGCTGTGTTGCAGGTTCCAGTAGCCCTGCCTTCCGGCTTCTCAACATTTGGAATTCTGCCCTCTACGTGGTGCTGTTGGGGGAGGGTGGGCCTGGATTAAAGCTTTTAGCCTTTCTAAACTAAAGGTACTTTCTTCCCCAAAGACAGTGGGAGGGATGACTGCAGCGGATGTCAGTCCTGCTTCCCACAACCCCTTGGGCAAGAGCTTGCTCAGCAGCTGTGTGGGCACTGAACTTGGGGAGGGCGGCAGGCCAACCCCACCTGCTTGGCAGGATTTGGGGCTGCATCCTCAGGGGACATGCTGAGGTGTCTGGCCCCAGAGTTGTGGGAACAGGCCAGGGCTATGTAAGGGTCTGGCCTCAGAGGCTCCCTGAAGGGGTGGGGGGACATTGTGTCCCTCCCAGATGCTAATCTATGCCCCACTGCTGCCGCCAACCTTCCCTGCGCCTACAGCTCTCAAGCCTCAGTGGGGCCTCCCTCTTCTCTCTGTCCCAGCAGGAGTTGAGGCAAAGTCTCAGAGTGATGGGGACAGAGACATCAAGGGTTCGGAGAACACGGCAAGGGCCCAGGTGACAGCCATTTAATTGCCACAGGCCAGCTGAGGCCGGGAACAGCTGCCCCACCCCCTGCAGCTCCGCTGGCAGAGGCAAGAGACAGGATTGGGAGGAGAGAGGTTGCCAACCAGCCCTCATTTCCCCTCTTCTGCGTCCGGTTGGTCCTGTGGCACCCAGCTTCCAACGCCCGATGTCCTGGGATTCCCAGTCAGTTCTGGGCCAGGCCAGGGAGGAAGGGGTGTCAGGCCAGGGTGTCAAGGTCCACAGTGGTCAGTGGCTCCCGCCAGTAGCAGAAGCTGCTGTATTCAGGGTTGGCCAGGTCTGTGCTGGGGCCACGGTCCAAGGGCGGGAAGAGGAGCTCAACCACCTCGCTGAGCCGCTTGTACCTGTGAGCAAAACAGGGCCAGCGCTGAGGGCCTGAACCGCCGCCAGACCACGGCCCCCGTCACATCAGGCCGACTGCACCCCAGAGGCCCCTCTGCAGAGCTGTAATTGGGGCCCAGGCAGAGGCTGGGGTGTGGGGACATGGCAGGGCCTGGGGACACAGGGCAGGGTTTGGCCTCACGTGGATTTGTGGTTCTTCATGGGCTCCTGGATGAGCTCTCCCCGGGGGTTGACTGTGAAGATCCGAGATTCAGGTAGGCCCACCTGCCGGTAGGCAGTGACATCCTGTGGGAGACAGGGAGGGGCTGGTGGGCTGGTGTGGGGAGAGGTGCCTCGGCCCTCAGGGAGGAGACACTCACATTGGGTCTGTTCCCAAAGGCGGCGTAGAAGGGTTGTCCGTGGGGCAGAAACAACTGCTGGATGTCGCTCAGGCAGGCGATCTTGAACACCTCCGGCTTCTTCTCAATCACCTCCCTGGGGAGCCGGGGCCAGGGCAGGGAAGGCAGCCAGGGAGGGGTAGCAATCGGAGGACGGCAGGGTCAGGTGACACAGGCCCAGTGCCGCCTGGGCTGGCAGTGGGCCCGCACCCCTCCTCCAGGGCTGTGGGCTCGTATTGTGCAGGGGGTTACCTGTGCAGGGCGGAGAAGAGGCTGCTGGGAGACAGCAGGATGGGGCCCTTCGGGAGGCCACAGCCCCGCTCGCTCACCCACTGTAGGTAGCCCTTGGTGAGGTCAGCCATGCCAATGGCCCGCGCTGAGCAGTACAGGAACTTGTACCCGTTGCTGGGGGTGGAGACAGGTGGCGCAGAGCCATCAGGGACCAGGGGGCCTGGCCCGGCACAGGGACCGGTGGCACCACCCGTCCTGCCCTTTTGGCTTCAGCCAGCTCAGCTGAAGCCTCTCAACCCAGAGGCCTTTGCAGGGAGCGGTCCAGGAGAACAGCTGGGCAGACCAAGAGGCAGCCTCGGGAGAGGGAGCGTGGACAGTCCCGAGGCCCAGGAGGACCGAGATGGACAAGGGTGTGAGCAAGTCCGCAGACTTCCTCTGGAGCATGAAGTCCAGCAGTCAGACCCAGACCCCAGGGGAGGAGTCTTCCTCAGGAGGACTGGTGGGCGGGTCTCAGCACTCCAGCGACACGGCCCAGCTTCTTCCTCTCTGGGCCCTGCCGGTCCCCAAGCCGGGCTCCCCAGGGCCGAGGCTATGGCGGCCTAAACTGTCCTGTGCCTCCCTCCCTCCCTGCCCCTGCCCCAGTCCCAGGACTCACAGGTGGATTTTGTGGTAGAGACTCGTGATGCCCTGGTGCGTCCAGTCTTTCCCCAGCTGGGGCAGAATGTGGCCCAGAGCGTCCGACCTAGATCCCAGAGGAGGGGTCACTCCAAGGCAGCCTCATGTGGCCCTCCTGTTCCATGCATGGGGCCCAGCTCCCAGCCCCACAATGGTGCAGGGGGCCTCTCTCCCTGGCCCCTGCCCCCCCAGCACAGAGGGAGGCACATTTCCAGGCCCCCCCTCTCCCCCACCAACCAGGCCTCACTTGGTGATGGTACCATCGATGTCCGAGATGACCACCTTGTCGTCCCACTTCCACAGGTAGATGGTGGCCCTGCAGCGGCAGGTACCCTGGTACTGGGTTGTCACGCTGAAGACCACATCGTTGGCACCTTCTTGCAGGTTCAACTGCCGCTGGGGCCGGGAAAAGGTGGGGGGAGCTGTGATCAGCCTCAGCCCGGCACTGTCCACCCCTGGTCACCCCAAACTGTGGCCTTCAATCCCCAGGCCTCTCCTTCCCAGCTCAGAGAACCTGCCTGAATCCATCAGAGAGCCACGTGGGCAGAGGGTGGCCCGACGAGGCAGTGAGGGAGTGCTGGTGCGGCCCGCACAGTGCCGGGCACAGGAGCCCTAACCTCCCTCTGTGTTCCTTTGGGGTGAAGCTCGAGGACAAAGCCTGGCCCGAGGCTCCCACTCACCTTTCTCAGGTCAGCCCCAAGGCTGGCATTGCCCTTGACAGGGAGACACCTCATGTACAGGAAGGCCCTTTGGGGATCATCACAGGCAGCCCCTGCCTGGGGCTAGGATACCTGTGACATCCCCAAAGAGAGACCCTAGCCCTTTGCTTGGTCCATAGAGAAGGATCAGGGCAGCTCAGCCACAGCCGGTGTGAGTCCTGGTACCACACAGGTGGCAGCTGCTCTGTACCAGACCGGCCAGGCCCCCGGGCACCTCCCTGGCCATGGAGTCATACTCAGAGAGAAAACTTCCTTCCTTCAGGAGCCACCCGTTACTGAGCTCAAAGATGCGAATCCAGGGCCAATCTGAAGGGCTGTCATCAACGTTTGCTTCCAAGGACTAGAGTGGAGCCAGCCCACCCACTGCAGGTTGATATTGTAGGCCTAGCGAGGGCCTCTCCAGTGAGGGCATTTGACAGAGAAATGGACTGGCAAGTAAAGGAGTGAGCCCCCTGCCCCTGGAGGTATTCAAGCAGAGGCTGTTCGGCTGCCAAGGGCTTGGATTCTGGGCTTTAGTGACTGTGGGGCTCTGTGGCAGAGTTATCACCACCCCCACCATCCCACATGGACACTTACAATCTGATCAGAGGAGAGGCGGAGGGACTTCTTGTAGGCAGGAGAGTAGGCTGGAGGCAAGGTCGGCAGGGAGGGAGCCTCCAGGATGACAGGGCTCTCCGGGGCGTCATCCTCGCTGCTCAGGACATCGGTCTTCTCCCTGTGGGCAGCGCAGCTCTCAGGCACCTCCGCCAGACGAAGGCACTGCACTCCTAGTAGACACCCCTCCACCCAGGCCACAGGGAGCCTGGGCCTGTCCCTGCCCCTCCAGAGACGACCCAGGGGACCAGAAACCCCTCCCTCTAGGTGCCACCCATTTTGGGGGTGGTAGCAGACTAAGGATGTGGGCCGGCAGGCTAGACCCAGAAAGGTGGTGGCAGAGCCGGAGCCAGGGCCCGGGCTCTCAGCCCTCAGTGCCTCTCCACAGCCAGGAGGCCAGACCTGCCTCGAGATATATTTACCTGAAAACCCAGAAATGTGTTTTAGGGTTTACGCCCAACCTTACCTGCTTTGGCTTCAGTTGATTCACCTTGGCCACCCTCCGCCCCCCTCCCCCAGATCCATTTTTGTTCATCATTTATGTTGATCATTATATCCCACATATGAGTGAGATTTCTTTTTTAATTGATTTCAGGAAGGGAAGGGGGGAGAGATAGAAACATCAATGATGAGAGAGAATCATTGATCAGCTGCCTTCTGTATGCCCCACACTGGGGACAAGCTGCAACCTAGGCATGTGCCCCGACCAGGAATCAAACCACAACCTCCTGGTTCATAGGTTGATGCTGAAACACTGAACCACACTGGCCAGGCTTTGGGAGCCCTTTTTTGGAATGTGGAAGTAGACCCTTTGGATCATGTTGTACTAGCTATTATGATGAGTTCGGTTTTTTTTGTATCCCTGTTCTTCTGCCTTATTAATATA